AATATCCAGCAGAAATCATATTTAATAATAAACAGTAATATCTGGATTGTGATCTAGTAAAATCATATAAGTGTGACAGTGACATAAACCATATAAATTCCATCCACCCATACACCATATGTAGTCCCATGATTTACCCAAGAGAGTTCATTGGGGTCTGAGAGCCTATCTAAGAAAGTTTCTCGGGGCCTACCCAAAGGTTACCTTAGGTTCGTAAGGATTTTCCAGCTTGATCAGAGCTAAACTTCTATACTCCAGCCTACCCAGGTAATGTCCCAATAAAATAGTTCAAGTAGTAACCAGTAGATTCCATGCTTCATAAATTAGGAACAATCATATTTTCCAGTGAAAATAGGTAACCAGAGAACATATACCATGTATCCATAATTCATAAGTCAGTAAATCAATAAATCAGTGATTTTGGAAAATCACTTTTTAAAATAGGTAAAACATTTACATGTCACATAAGAAACACACTAGAAGATCCATATATTCTTCAGAGCTACTTGGTGATAAGGAAGGTATTCATAAGCTTTTGTATTGGATTTACTTAATATTTCAAGTATAACAGGAGTGATTCTATTATTCAAACAAACAAGGATATTTTATACATTTCGATTCTTAGAGAATTCTCAGTAATTTAACTCAATAAGGATGGAGTGATAATTTGTGGTATTCAATATTATGTATTAAATTATCAGGATTTCAAGTTCAATTGAACCAACGAGCCCAACACTGTGATACTTGTCAATCATTCGAACTGTGATATTTCTCTATTATTCACTTCTTAACACTGAATGCACCAGCTGATTTGATCAATATTAGAATCATCCTTGATCAGTTCTTGAGGAAATGAATAGGTATTCCTTTGGTATTTATTTCATTTTCGCGTTGTGATAGTATCCAAAATGTCTAACGACTTGGGTCGTGCTAAATAACCTTTAGAGGCAGTACATCATTTAGGTTCATCTGTGTTCCCATAGTCTATCCAAAGACATTCACTTGATCCAAGTCATAAAGGTATTTAGGTCATCTTAGTATTCGAGGTTATTTTAGTCATTTGGGGTCCATACACATTAGTTATTTCAAAACTTGATGATAATCCATCACTTAAATACTTCAATGACGTGTCACACTTATAGTAATCTAGTTTTCAATTGATCATTCAAAAATAATGAGATCGATGTATTAAGAATTTCCAAATGTAGAAGTTTATTTTTGGGGTTTTTCAAATAGATTAGGAATTTAATTGGTGATTCCAAGATTCAAGTGAATCAAAATATGAGTTCTCAGGTCGTCTCTATTATCATAACCATCCATAGTTCTTTTTACACTTTAAGGGTATTATCGTCATTATATTCAATTCTGTTAGTGATATTACTTCCGATAAATTAGACTTTAAAGTAATCTAGTTCCTTTAGAGTTCAGGGTATTGGTCATTGAACATTGAAGGTTATTTTAGTTATTTCGTAGTTCAAGGACATTTCGGTAATTCAGATCAACCCAAACATATATACATTTTCTGATAATTTGGTCATATATATATATTCAACGTTATTTTTTGCTCTTACAGGTAATCATGGTCTTTTTGCGGTGCAAGGACATTTTGGTCAAATTATAATTCAAGGTTATTCCAGTCATTTCCTTCCGTCCAGTCTTTCTATTTAATTCCATTTTTCTGAATAATTCAAACAAGAATAGTACTTCCAATATTTTAGTCTTTAGGTGCTTGCTGATAATCAACAATTATAGGTCTTGTACCTTCTCGAATATTAAGATCCGATTATCAGTGACTATCTGAGCATATTGTGAATTTAACAGATGAAATAATGATTTATCGAATTAAAAAATACAAATTCTCGAGGTACTTACGCTCTCAAGTCATTCCATGTAATTTTTACCCTTTAGGGGAAATTTCATAACTTATAATTAGGTGATTCCGATATTAAACCTTTTAATAAAAATAATTAGAATTTAATAATTCTGAGGTTATTTGCTCTTCAGACTAATCACTGCATTTTCAATCAATTCTTAGCAGTCTTTCAATTCCTTTATGTAGTTAAATTGAGTCTTAACCAATTTATCACTTAAATCGTATTCGGTTCGAGTCCATCCATAATCAAATATGCATAATAGACCAATCATATACATCCATACAATTATCCATTATCAACATGTTACATAAAGCATGAAAAGAGGTAGTAAAGTATTACCTCGATTTTCATGCTCCGTCAATCGAACATTTAAACTTCATTCTATCGCTCTCGAACTTGAATTCAACGTCCAATAATTTCTCGGATACATAGCAAACGAATTTACGTCAGAAAATGAACTTAATCAAAAAACCAAATTGAATCCGAAGATAAAACATTGAAAAACGCCTTATCGAGTGCGAATTTGGCAAAACAGACTTCAGATTCAGACTCAGGACGTCGAAAAACATAAAATATGACTTTTTTGTCAAAGTCAATGGGTTGACTCGGACGAGTTGACTCGATTGGGTCAAACAGACCTGGTTCAGACCTGTTCAGGGTGGTTCAGTCCACCTGGACCGTTTCTAGAAGAAACCATGGCTGAGAAAAAGCCCTACGCGTACGCCGCGGCACGTGGTAGTGGTGCCGACCCCAAGGTGATCGGCCAATTACTCCTCGTTCGATCCTAACATCAATTTCATCAAAATGGATCCAAAATTTTGTCAATAACTACTGCAAACAACCGCAAAGATGACCCGACTTACCCCAACGTCGACGACCAAGGAAACGGTAGCAATAGCTCGACCCAAGGGATGGGTTTTGCATGGGACAAGCCTACGAACAAGCTGGTGCAGGTGGTGAGGCAAAGCGGTTGCCAGATTGGCCAGAATTAACAGAAAATCTAGCGATCGAGGCAGATTTTGGGGATTTTTCATCTCATGAGAAATCATCGATTCATGATGATAAGAGGCGTTTCACAGCACGATGATGCTTGAGATTTGGTTGCCGGTTGACGATGAGTATGATGGCGGCGGCAGCGGGTTGAACGGTGGTCGGACGACGACGATTTTTGGGGTGAAAAGGGGGTAGAGCGCGACTGAGTTAGGGATTTGATTTCTCGAAATTGGGGATATTTTCATTTTTATTTTTCTCTGTCAATACAAAATGGGAAAATTTGGGTTAAGTCCATAAACTTCCCAGAGTTTCAAACCAGAGCTACAAGTTTCTAAAACTTGAAATTCAGTCCCTTAAATTTACAAATTAATAACATTTTGCTCCTAAATTGGGTATGACAAGCGCCAAACGTATTAGCATTAGATTTGTATTCAAATAGTTGTGTTTATAAGGTGTATGTACGTTGTTAATAATTAAGAAAGATTTTGAACATATATTATCTTGTAATTACTCCATACTATTCAAAAGGAAAAAATGTATATTTTCTTTATTTTTCTTAGCTTAAGAAATAAATACTCAAATTATATCAATCTATCACTTTAGATGTTAAAGTATCTTTCGCTCGATGTTAAAGTATCTTTCGCTCGATGTTAAAGTATCTTTCGCTCAATGTAAATGTCTAATATTTTTAACGTTATCATTTAAGTGTCTGGCTCATCAAACCCGTTAAAAACCCTTTAACCACTTCAAATATGACATATTTCGCGTTTATAGTTTTTAAACTTTTATTTTTAAATTTTTTATTATTAAAAAAAATCAAACTATCTCTAAAACCTAAAAAATCCAAACATTTAAATCTCAAATTCCAAACCCTTAAAACCTAGAATAAATATAATATTATCTGATGTTAAAATGGTACAAATTAATTTTATTCAAGTCAATAAAAATAGATGAAATCTAACCAAACACCACAATTAATATAAATACAATATACTAACAACCAGTTGGTCTAGTGGGATGAGACACTAGGTCCCTTAAGCAAGGTCAAGGGATCGAATCCTAACATTTGCGAATGGAGTAAATTAGGTTAGGAGGGTTACCCTCGTCTTTGCAGTATCTGATTTGGATTAGTAGGTCAATTGATTGGATAATAATAATTAATTCAAAAAAATATAAATACAATATATTTATACATATAAAATATAAAACAAAGACGAATAAAAAATGTGACGATTAATTTTATTTATTCATCAATTATAAAAGAATAAAATCATCATTAACCTAGTTGTTTAATCTTCTTAATCATATCAGGTCAAGTATTATTAAAAAACATTAAGTTAATTGTTATATAATTATTTTTAACATTTTTTTTATTAATCGGAGTGTTACAAGGTAGTGTCTGTTTAGAATTTTTTTATATAATTGATAATGAACACACACTTCCTACAGACACTATCGCTTGAACTTGAGACTTCTAAAAAAATTAACACTTCTTTTAATCACTAATGTCGTTCAATATATACATTTTTCCGAGTATTTTTTTTAATTAATCACTAATATCCAATCTATTGACCAACTAATCCAGATCGGACACTGTAGAGGCGAGGGTGACCCTCCCAACCTAGCTTGCTCCATTTACAAACGTCATGATTTGAACCCATGACATTATTTAAGAAATCTAATACCTCTTCCTATTAGATTAACTGATTGTTAGTTTTTTTCCAACATTTTTAAATCAGGAGTTCGGCATGTATGTCTTACTTTGATCGTCTTACTAGAACGTATCATATTATTTTGAGTTTTATTAATAGACATGCCTGCATGTATCCTCACTTAACTGTGTCATTATATATATGGAATATTATAAACCATGCACAAATAGGCCTCCAATATTTGATAAGTTCAAGAAATAATCTGTAAGACAAAAATGCTTTGTTATTTCTTTATAGTTGCCGGCCAATTGCACATGGTGAAAAATCCTTCTCGAAATTGCTAATAAACATATATTTACGGTAACATACGTAAAATTTTATGTTTAAAGGTATTGATTTAAAGGTTTTATTGAGATTTTAAGAATATGAAATTCTAAAATTTCATAAATACGACTTATAAGTTGAGTATGGTCATCTGAAATATTACAGTTATGGGTAGCATATCATTCATTCATGCACTTTTATTTTTACTTGTACCAATGGTTTCCCAGGTAATACATGCTAGTGACAGAGACATTAAGCTCAACTCTGTTGTGCCTCGGAGTATCGCCACCGCCGATGCAAGTTTCTTCACGCACTCCGCCTTCCGAGCCCTGATCGGGGCTGATCAACCGGCGGTTTTCGGGGTTATGAAAGTTAGCGAGGCAGAATTTCCGGCCTTAAATGGTCAGGGTGTTTCCTATGCTGTTCTACGGTTCCCTTCGGGTTCCTTAAATCCATCCCACCGCCATCCCGAATCCGCCGAGCTTCTTTTTCTTCTCGCCGGCTCTCTCGAAGTTGGGTTCATCGATGCAAACAATGTGTTACGAAGTGAGACACTTGAAGCTGGAGATGTTTTTGTTTTCCCCAAGGGGGTTGTCCATTATCAGTACAACTACGGGCAGGACTCGGGTTTTGCGATCTCTGCTTTCGGCGATGCAGATGTTCGAACCATACGTAGTCCGGGGTCTATTGTTTCAACTAACATTAGAGATGATAGCATTGCTAAATCTGTCAAGATTGATGCATCAAACGTTGAGAAGATCAAGGATTCTTTTATATTAGCAGATTGAAACAACATTTTATTATTTAGGCTTCTATCATTAACTGTATTGGACTTCAATTCTTTTTCACACAAAGAAAGTGTGGGCTTAAGGAATGGAGAAAGTATTCTTGAGGTTGATATTCGATTTTTTAATAGTTAGAGTGATTATAAGATAGTATCAGCTCAGAATTTTTCTTATCCATTGACAACGCATATATCTTATAAACGTAGCTGCTCAAATTCAGAATATTTAGGGAGAATAACATTTCATTTTATCATCGTTTGATGAGTTTTGATATTCTATTATAATATATATGCGCATAATATCTATAATATTCTATTAAAAGTTAAATAATAAATTGAATCCAATGACGTTTGAACAAAAACTGAATCCAATGATTAATTTAAGCACGACTCAGTTGAATCAATTAAATTTAGAGAAAATAACCTCAGTGACCAAAAATGTCTTATAATATACGATTTTAACTAATTTTTTTTGGATTTGCCAAAATGACCAACTAAATCGCAACGCGATCGATAATTCGCAACGCGATCTCTGGTATCGCAAATCAGTTTCCAGATTCGTAACGCGATTCTGACTATCGCATTGCGATTTTCTAAATTCGCGTTGCGATTTTCCAAATTCGCGTTGCGAATACGTAAATCGCAACGCGAATCTGACTATCGCAATGCGATTTACATAGCGCCATTCGTATCCAACGCGTATTTTTTTTCAAATTCCAAACACGAATATATTAATATATCGGAATACTGAACCGTCCACAGTATATCCCGTAATCGCAACTCATAACCTAAAACCCTAAATCACAACTCAGTCTCATCTCCATCTCTCACTCTCTAAGGCGACATCCGTCCCCATCTCCAACGAAATCAGTCCCCATCTCCGACGATATCAGTCTCCATCTTCGGCGAAATCATTCACGGTCAGAAATGGAAAATCAACCAAATCAACCACCGAGGGTTAGTTTTTTAATTATTTTTATTTTGAAATTTTTGCATTATTATTAGGTTTTTCATATTGAAATTGATGATAAGTTTACTGGTGTTTTCAATAATAGATTAACCATTTCACTTAGATTGCCTATTATATTCATTCGATTGCTGTCAATACTGCTAAACTGTTTAGTCTTTAACCCTGTGAAGTTAGTATTTGTCTTTGTTTTGTCTTTTGGTTGAAGTAATGCAATCCATTCAAGTTTCTTTCAATTTTAGTATTTGAAAACGAGAATGACTATCGCAATGCGATTCTGTCGTTGCGATTTTCATTTCGCGTTGCGATAGTCAAATTCGCGTTGCGATAGTCATTTTCGTGTTGCATTTTTCATTTTCGTATTGTGATTTAAAGTTTCAGAAACTATTCTTCTTCTACAAATTAAAACTTGAATGAATTGCATTACTTCAACCAAAAAACAAAAACAAATATTAAATTCACAGTGTTGCAAAATTAAGTTTAAAGAATAAACTACTACTCTTTATGTTTATTGTTCTTGTTATATCTTCACAGTGTAGTTTTTGGTATATCTAAATTGGTATGTTTATTGTTTTTGCAGAACTTTTATTCGGCTCAATTGACCTTAAGAAATAAAGTAAGCATGGCCAAAACAATTGCGTCGAAACTTTCACCTGCACAAAGAAAAATATTTGAGGATACTTGCTTCGGGCCATGGCTGAAAGTACAATATCCGGGTGGAGATGCTATGTTGACCCATCTGTTTCTTCAAACCATGACTAGCGATCTACCAGAGACTATACAACGTCGTGATGAAGAGATATGGTTTGATTTTCCACCGGCGTATACGTGTTTTGGGCGGGAGAAGTTTTGCTTAATCATCGGTTTACGCTTTGGACACGATGATGTAGATCGATACACTAGACATATTACCCGCCTATCATGGTTTTCCCGGGTTTTTCCTGAGCTGTCAATGGAGAAGTCGAATTTACACATGGAAGACTTGACGAGATTATTGAATAAGAAAGATGGTTTTACTCGGATGGATGACGTCGATGTTGTCCGAGTATGCCTTCTAATACTTTTGCAAGCCGACTTTTTAGGCAGAGAGGCCCGACAACCTATTCTTAATGATCTAATTAAATTGGTAGAGGACCTAAATGCATGGAACCTGTTTCCGTGGGGTTCGTATCTATGGAGAGCTACATGGAATAAGTTGTCGTCTGCCTTTGATGATCAGAAAAGTTTGCGTGGCGATGGTTCCAAATACACTTTGTCAGGCTTTATTTGGGCCTTTAAGGTAATAATTTTTTATATAATGTTTCCAAAAATTATAATTAATTCTTTAACAATTACTAATGTTTGTTATTATATTGTTTGTAGATTTGGATATTTGAGGCCTTTCCCGCCATGCAGACATATGCATTAAAAACTTCTAATGATATTCCTAGGGCTATTTCCTGAAAGAGGAAACGGTCTTTGCAGCAATGGGAAGATTTACTACCGTATACTACAATAAATAATGTAAGTTAACACAAATACTACCATACGTTTATAAACAAGTTATTACTAGTACACGTTTAACTTTGTTTGAGCTTTTATATTGTTAGGAGGCCAACACTCCATTACAGAGGCTGACACCCACGGAAGCTGAGCTTGCCACTGATTGGTGGCAAGCTAGTAAGCTTTTTTTTGATGGCACAGATGATGAGCAGCCACCACTTCGAGAGCTATCACCTCACCCAGAGCCATCACCTGATCGACCCTAATATACACCTCCACAACGAGAGTCATCACCTATTCTGTCACATCATCGAGCCTCTTCTCCACCATCACATCATGATAGGCGACCGGCAAAGATGCCACGACATTTATCTCCCTGTTCTCCACCTCCACCTCCACGGGATGAGTTAGGGGAGTTACGTAATGAGGTCAATGCCTTGCGTGAGGAGGTCGGTACTTTACGCGATGACAATGGTGCATGGCGTGTTGAGGTGTCTACTTTACGTGGTGAGGTAGCAGCTCTACGTGAGATTGTAGCATCGTTGCAGAACGAGGTTCATACTCTACGCAACAAGGTAAGTTTAATATTTTTCATATTTAACTTGATGATAAATTTACTCGTAATTTCACTTAGATTGCTTAGTAAATTCATTCGGTTGCTGCCAATACTGTTTAGTTGTTTATTCTTTAACCCTGTGAAGTTAGTATTTGTTTTTGGCTGTCTTTTGGTTGAAGTAATGCAATCCATTCAAGTTTCAATTTGCAGAAGAAGAATAGTTTACTATCGCAATGCGAAAATGACTATCGCAACGCGAAAATGACTATCGCAACGAGAGAATTGCAATGCGAAATGAAAATCACAACAACAGAATCGTAACGCAAAAATGACTATCGCAATGCGAAAATGACTATCGCAATGCGAAAATGACTATCGCAATTCTCTCGTTACGATAGTCAAATTCGCATTACGATAGTCATTTTCGTGTTGCAATAGTCATTTTCGCGTTGCGATAGTCATTTTCACGTTGCGATTTTAAGTTTCAAATTCTATTCTTCTTCTGCAAATTGAAACTTGAATGAATTGCATTACTTCAACCAAAAGACAAATACTAATTTCACAGTGTTGAAAATTTAAGTTTCAAGAATAAACTACTACTCTTTATGTTGTCATTGAACCTGCACTAAACCTGTCCTTTTAAATGTTTATATAAGTGCTTACTTCTGGAATATTATCTGATGCATTTTGTGAACAATGATATAATAATGACTTGGGTGAATACCTTGCAAGTTTGAAATATATTTGTCTTTGTTTTCACTGTTTAATATCATGTCTGTTTATTTACTGATTTATGTATTAATTTATTTTTAGCGGCCCGCTAAGGTGGATGCTCTACGTCGGGTTTTTCTTGCAAGACAGAGTTCACGTATCAGACGGCGTATACGTGCCATTACGGCTCCATTCACCCCAATAGTGCGAAGAATCCGTAAGAAAAAGCCTGACTCACCTATCATCGTTCAAGAGGCCTTCCCTATCGTTCAAGAGGCCCCTATCATCCCTCAAAAGTTCCCTCCCAGCGTTCAAGAGGCCACTGCCATCGTTGAAGAGGTCTCTCCCAACATTCTAGAGCCCGATTCACACGGCGTAATATATCGAATTATTGAGAAGCCCCCTCACGTGCCGGACATGATGGATGACTGTTGGCTTTCGTATAAGTTACCTGCCAGTATCATTCCGGCAGATGATGTGGAGAGGAAACAACTACCGAAAACAATTTTGGATAATACCCTTTGGGCTAAGACCGCAGTTGATTTTTATCTACATGAGCGGAGCCAAGGGTGTTACATTGACATATACAAACTTAACGATGATATGCATTTGTTGATTGAACGATCTTGGTGGGGTGTATTATTAGGGGTTGAAGACAACGGCTATTTCGATGGGGGGTAAGTCTTATATTTCTTCTTATATTTCAGTTTGATTAATTTTTTTTAAAATTTATGTAATTCACTAATATATGTCTTTTTTTGTAAAACAGCATATATGTCTTTTTTTGTAAAACAACATATTGATGCATGGGTGACACGTCTTCTAATTGTAAGGAAATTGAAGAAAAATATAAAAAAAAACGCGATATACAATTATGCCGACGTCCTTTCACGTAGTTCACTTGAAGAATCAACGACAGGAATCATATGTGTTGGCTAATGGACAAGCTAAACTTTATCCTGCATGGTGGGAGGTCGATAAGGTTAGTATATTTGTTTAAATATTTTAAAGGTGTTCATAAATAAGTGCGCAATTTGAATTATTACATTTCGATGCATGTGTTTATCCCTGTTTTGGAACGTACTCATTGGCTTCTCGTCGAGCTTCAGCTCCCATCCCTAAAGACAATAGTATATGACAGCATGATAAATTACATATCATTGTCTGATTTGAGAGATATTATTAAGGGATGAAGCTCTCATTTGGCTAAATTCTTGGATGCAATTAATTATTGGACTAATTCTGGAAACAAGAAGCCAAAGAAATTCAATGTTACAGTTATCAGAGA